ACATTAAATATCGATTAATTTAGAATCGAGTTGCATTAAATCACATAAGGGAAAAACTCTTTTAGAACCAATTTCTCTATTTAGAAAATTCAAACTCGAAATATTATTTAATGAGAATCGAGTTTTTTTTACTCAAACTAACAATTGATTAGTAATTTTAAATCAATTGATCCTATATAGAAAAAACCTCTTATATTTAACAATATACTTGATAACTTTTCAGTCAACAGAGCGAGTCGCCGGCAACTTGTTCACCGGAATAATGACCACGAAAGCCAAATCCCTCGAAACTTTTTGTGCTTTTCTTTTTTTTCTTGTGAGGAGTGCTAGGGGCACTCGCCTTCTGCACTCTCCGGCCAACACTTTCACTTTTATTGGGCCACGTTATTCTTGTGGCGAGAGGTTGCACTTCAAAGTTGGAAACAAGCTTACGTGGCCCAATGAAAGGGGAAGTGTGAGCCGGAGAGTGCAAGAGGCGAGTGCCCCTAGCATTGCTCTTTTTTTTTTTAGCAGGTACATTTTAGAGTCGAGTGATGGGATTTTAACACGCCAGTACTATAGCTCAAACTTTAATTATTATCAATACCTTACCAAGCAGTTTAAAAAAAAAAAAAAAAAACCTTGCCAACTGTTCTATAAGACCTGCTGCGATACCTTCTCCTCATAAATCTACAATTACTCCGGCGACCACTGTTCAACGGAGGACATGTACGGTCGCGATCTCTGATTCTCGTAAGGATCGGCAATTCTGAAAGCTTCTGACTCTTCCTCTTGAAACAATGTGGAACTTTTCGTCTGAGGACGAATTCGAAAACTGAGCGAGCGGCTTAGAATTACCGTTTCAGAGCTGACGTGAGCGAATCGGAGAGCTCCAGCGCTTTTCGCGTCATCATTTTGGGGCTGTTCGAGCTCTTTGATCTCCTCGCCCCTCGCGGAATCAGAGCTCCTTAAAGGTTCTAATTTCGCGCAACTGGTTCCGGTTGTGTTGCCGGTGTTCGGCGGCACACAAGTATTTTGTCCGTTAAAGGAGGAGGAAGTGCCGGAGACCGAATGATCCGGTAAGTTCAGAACAATACTAATTTTTTTTTGAGGATTTCAATCTTGCTAATGGTGCTCATGTTTGGATCTATTATCTCTTATGTTCTCGTAAGCTCTGTTTGGTTGCAGAATTCATTTTTCAGGGTTGGGAGAAATAGGAAAAAAGGGAAAAGGAGGCTAGAAATTCAGTTGCTTTTGTTTGTTTTGATTTTAAGGACTCTGTTAACAAACAATGCATTAATTGAAACTACCTTTCTGCAAAATCTGTGTTACTTCTGGTCTTTTCTTTAGTTTTTCAGTTGCAGTTTCAATTCCTCCCCGCCATGCCTTTGCAGAAGTTGAAATGATGAAGCAGCACTTTCCTAAGCTTTTGCTTGGAGAGGATATGTCAAGTGGAGGGAAAGGAGTTTGTACCGGTCGTGCTTTCTCCAATGCCATACCAAGTCATTCTGGTTAGTATTAGTATCTACATTTCAATTTTGTTGGAGTTCAAATTTGTAGGTAAAAGTCCAATTGATTTGCATCCAATAATACTGTCTATTTCATATTAGCCTGTGCCTGTTGGAGGTGGATGTAAGGTCTTTTTTTTTTTTCTTATTCCGATATATTTGTATTTGGTAAATTCTTAGCTGTTGTATTTGGGGAGCTATGGAAGTTGGAGCCAGTGGCACCACAAAAGTTGATTTGGTGCTGGGAAATGGACTAGCTTTTTTGTGTCAGTGACTCCATGGTGGAGCTTATTCTATCATCACAAAAATTTCCAGGTGAAGGGAATTTTAAGGTTATGGTTACACAGCTGCGTGCAGATCTACATATAAATTTCCCGGCACTCAAGAAACTTGATGCAATGCTTCTCAGCATTCTTGATGGGTTTCTTGATTCTGAGTTCTGTTATGTTGACCTTGGAGTAGTTCTTGCTGATTTTTATGAGAGTGAAACATCTTCTTCATTTGGGAGGTCTTCAGTTAGACGGGAAGAGAAGTGGTGGTTGCCACTTTCTAAGGTTCCCCTTAATGTTTTATCTGAAGATGTGAGGAACAGAT